GCTTTGTGGACTCTTGTAACTTTACTAATAAAGCTAATTCGCCTACTCCTAAAGTGGAACTACATACAAGGCAAAAATTATGCCATTTTGGCCGCTATGTTGCGAAAGCGAAGCTATTTCGTCTAAAAAGTTGCGTCCCAGTTACCCGGGCTGGAGTGTTCATATGGGAAAATTTTCATCCCGGTTAGCGAGATCTCGGGTTTTGCGACCGAGCTCTCGGTAACCGGGCCAGCCTGGCTTCTCATATGAACATATCGAAATTTTTACGAAGGAAAGAGAAGCGAGGCGAGATCTCGGAAACCGAGCCAGCCCGGTTGACCGGGCTCATATGAAGAGGCCCTAAGCTTAGTTTAGTCGGAACCGTAGCCAGAAAAAAATTATGATTGAGGCAATGTCCTATCAAAAAAAATATGACTGAGGCAATGTCCCTGAAAAAATCAGAACAGAGGCAATGTTCATAAAAAAATTATGACTGAGGTAAAGTTCATGGTTCAATTTTCTTCCTAGGTATATAGGGTGTTTATGAATTATGATGACTATTTATATAAAGAACAAAAAGAGAAAATGACCGAGGTAAATGCCTCGATTAGCCTATTACTAGCTACCGCCCCGTTAACGCATAGTTTGTTAGTTAATCCTTTTTCCCAATATGGACAACGTATTTGTCACTACGCTTCAAGTTAATATTGCTGGTCTGTTGAGGTTCGAGTTAAGATGGTATCCATTACGTCATACTGACGTAACAATCCCATTTCGATGCTATGGGAACAGTCCAAACTGCTGACAATAACAACTACTGCAGGGATATTGTTCTGCAGTTTGTTGGAGCCCTGCACGTGCTTTCACCTAACTTCTATGAGAAATAAGGCTATTTCCCTCACGAAACAAGGATTATAACAAATAAAAAAATATATATAAAACTAACACTGACCTTTATAATCATTTCTGCCAAATAGAAGTCGCATTTTTGACATTTTGATCATGAACTTCTACCCATTTTCAAATCAGTTTCTATGCTAAACATGTGTCCAGCTTCAAATACAAGGCTGGTTAATCAAACGCTTCTCTCGTGAGATATAGTTTTAGCGGTTTTGTAAATCTCACTTGCAAGACCCAATTCATGTTCATTTACATTTTGGCTATGGAAGAAACATCAGTCAAAGCTCCTTTAATGTTTGGTTAATTTCAGGCAAAATGTCATTTCCCAAATTTGGCTAGCTAAATTTACTTTTTACAAGAACTTAACCCTTCAAGTTTTTGGATAAAGCCAATTAATTTTGGTTTTACTCAATTTCTAAGCTGTGAAGTTTCAGCAGCTAATAATAGACAGTGTTTTTAAATTCTATTTGTCTAATTTATCTTCTAAAAAGAGTTGAGCTAAATCTTAATATGTAGTCGTATATCAACGGTAGAGTAGAAATGGTCGTTAATCTCATAAAAAAGTGTGAAGATAGTTTAAAAGCTCTGGTATGGTATTCAACCAATGCAGTATATTTACAATATAGCTTCAAGCCTTGCGCTGAAGGTTGTTTGAAAAGATTTAATTACAGTCTTAACTCACACCCTGGGTTCAAACCACGGTATTTCGGCCCTGAAACATAAGTATAGAAGAAGAAATCTGATCTTAGATTTCGGGGGAGTGGAGTTTTGACCCAAAGGGGTGTCTTGGAGTGGTTGTGGAGAAAAACTTAACACCACTAAAGCCGTGTTCATTCGTGACATTTGCGCATATCGTATATATAACGAGCTTTTACCTTACCACTTTAATTTAAATAGAAAATCTCTCAAGTAATGTCAAAAAAATTGACTATCAGTTCATGGAAATTTGATGAGCCACTTTTAGACAAAGTCACGCCATAATTTGAGCACTGCTGCCTACATTCCTTGCTTTAAATTTATAATTTACACGAGGCGTTTAAACTCCGCTCTTTGTTGGGTAGCGTTAGAATTTAGTCTGTAGAGAGGCCTTGTTCACCGCATTGATGTTGAAATGCAAGGCTGGTGGCGACAGCTGACGCGGAACCCAATTGTAAATATATTACTCACAATAGCTAATTATGGAATCGTGAGTTGAAAAGATATTACTTAAGACAACATATTACTGTAAATGGACGGCAGAAGCGTATTTTTATTCCCGTACTGTGTGTGAATTCACATAAACTGGGTCCAAGTGTCCACGAAGATGTCTGTAAACACCAAACCGCCTCAAATTTATTCCCTAATTCACTTTTATGTATGAATGAAAACAGATACAATAATATTGAACACACAGAATGCACAAAGAAATGGACGTCGAAAATATTCGATTTCCTTGGCAAAAAGGCCTGTGTATTCCGCAAATTTTCTGTGTCAGATATAAATCGCATTTACTAAGAACTTGCAAAGACATGTGCTATATAAAATTACGAGCAACTGTTTCACAGCTGTTCGGACTTGGTCACCTTTGCCATAATCCAAGATTCAGTACCTGTAAATGAGGAAGATGCATTAATTTCTCCAAACCTGTCTTGCTGACTCTTGTACAGCCATATAGATCAATGTTCGTTACACTAGTCAAGTTTTCGGCGATAGAAGCTAAGCTGATGTCTGTGATTTGGGTACACTGGCCAATATTCAACACACGAAGATCGTGAAGGCTTCGTGCTGCTTTACTAAGGCCATCGTCTGTAATGTGGCAAGAATTTAAGCCAAGATTTTTTAAATGGTGAAGTCCATTAGATATATGATTCAAGGCCGCATCGCCGACTTTGTCACAAAAACTTACGTCCAAGTAAGTTAAATTAAGGCCTCCCACCGCTAAATGCGCGATTCCCTCGTCGCCGATACCTTCACAAGATCGAAGGTTTAATTCACGCAGGCTTCGAAGAGTGGCCAAGTGAGAGAGCCCGCTCTCCGTAATACCACAGCAAAAGCTTAAATTGATCGACTGTAGGTGAACTAGTCCCTTGGCAATGTTGCTTAGTGCGTTATCAGTGATCTTTTGACAGTCTTGTAAACACAAAGTAGTTAAATTCTTGTTACCGCGAGCGGAACTCGCATTGAGTCCGGCGAGGTGTGCGATGCCGGTGTCCGAAATGTGTCGGCAACTTCGAAGATTCAAGTACTTTAACTTCGGCAAGCCCCAGGCACATAGAAGAAGTCCAGTGTTCGTTATGTTACAACATCCAGCGAGATCCAGCACTTCCAAATTGCTCAAAAATCGAGCGATCCTTCCTAGACTTGTATCCGTAATTTGTTTACACAAACTTAGATTTAACACTGTCAAAGACGAAAGATCTTTCACGAACGCATGTCCGATTCCAATGTCGGTAACGTTGAAGCATCCTTTGAGGTTTAAACTCTCTATATTTGGTAGATTTTGTATCACGTAGTTCAAGCTCTTTTTAAGGCTCAGTATACGAATTTTCCGAATACCACGTTTCGCCAACGAAGGAAATAGGTATGGATTTGACCTCCGCAAATGTAGCCTCGCTTGAACACCGCGCCAAACCAAACGACTGTAAGCCGCGTCCCTCCACTTTGAACAGACTTGAGACACTCTTCCCTTGTCTCTAATGTCTAAATAACTAAAAATAATGGCCAGAATCTCGGGGAAAAGGCAGTGGATCGAAGTGTCGCTCTTGCCTTTCATGTCGTTCGCCCGCGCTCAACAAAGCACCATTGGAAATCGATCAGGCATTTCAATACACTTGGGACCTTTTGTTTCATTCGACCACGTGACTGCTTCCGAACCCTCTGAATGGTTTTTGTACACAATAGCTTCTCGACCGCTCGCGGTTTGATCGAAGTGCAGACAAATTCATGTTAGATTCGGCAACAAAAAGGTCTTTGCTTGAATAAACTTCCTTAGGTAATAAAGTCAATAAAGACAAAACATACTTTGGCTAATAAAAGTAGCTTTCCTGCTTTTGTTACATATCCATCAGAAAATACCGTTTATAAGAGAGCGCTAAACTTTCCGCGATTTTTTGGCACAATAACAAAAAGTTCTCTTTTGTTTACATCTTTTCGTTCTATTCAGTACATTTCATGACCATTGCAAGGCGCTAATTGCGTTTACAGTTCCCTTGAAGTGGAGGTGAGCCAAATTCCTTCGCTATTAACGCTAGAAGTTGAAAATATACCAAACAATTGTTTTATCAAAGTTGAGCGATTATTTTCATCGTTCACAAGCAACTCTCGAACGCAGACAAAGGCGAAAAGTATAATTGCCTTAAATAATTAAAGCTAAAAATAGACTGGGGCATTCTTTTATACCTGTGGCGGCAGAATTATGAATTCCACAAGATTTGTCTGTCTTCAAGATTGGTGACTTGTGCGATTTGAATGAAAAATGAGCTGTGTTGTCCCCGCTTTCCAACAGACACAATTGAAGACAATTTTTGTTTTTCTTCGTCGGTTTTAAGAGCGGCCTGTGACAAATTTATTACCCCTTTTACAGAATTTTTTTTATTCTTGATTCTGGATGTAGATTAGACACAAGTTCTATTGTTCCTGCCGAATATTAAAATTTACCACACGTTGTTAGTTTTGCTTTGCTTTTCTCACTCACTCTTACGTCACTATAAAACTGATTTCAGTACGACGGCTATTTGTCCAGCGTCGGACAACTTTTTGTTCAAAAACACATCATGTTACTGATCTACAAAGATCTTCAGCTCGGTGAATATTCACTGCTGAAAAACACTAATTTGAATACTGTGTTTCAGGAATGTCTTTATATTGTATCAAAATTTACTGGCCTGCTTTATTATATTGTTCCTATTTCGCTAGCTTCAGAGTACAACACAACATCTTGTATTTTCACACCAGCTGTGGACTGTAGTGTTAAGAAACTGTGCAAATTCTTGTCGCGAAATTTAATTCCTTGAAGGCAATTCCATTGACCTCTAGCACCTTGTCTTCAGAAAAGACCGGAGACCACCTAGAATGAAATGGCAAAATGCAATTGAGGCGCAAGACTTGCTCGAGGGGAAAAATTAGGACTGTTTCTAGATATATTTGGCTGTACCCCGTATATCTTTAGTTTAATATGTAGATACCACATACTGTTATCCATAATTACTTGGAAGTCATATTATATAGTTAGTGTTAGCTTTTCTTTTCTCTTGTTTAGATTTCAGTTTTTTTTTGTTTTTTTTTTCGTTCTTTGTCTAGTTCTTAGTCAATTAACTTGTCTCTTTTTTGGGACAGCTTAGTTCATTTCATGACACTGAGCTGACGCTATTTGTTTTATTTATTATTTAATGCTCTTACTTCAAACAAGAAAATAATCAGCGACTAGACCAGTTTAATGGTGTCAAAATTTGCGTTTTCGTGGATAGGCACAGATTACACCACTCCTTTTATATTTTTAACAAGTTTTATTTTCGAGCTAAGACTGAAATATTTTTAGTATGATCCTTAAGAACTTAACGGTTCTAAAGATTTTCAAACTTGATATAGAGATACTAATGAAACTTCTAAACACAGAACGTGCACGTATAAAGCAATATAGATTCATGTTGTTACTGTGAGTAGCTAACGGCACCTAGCTGATCAGATTCAAGTGTTTTAAGTTAAGTTTAACTGCACATTAATATTTGAAATGTTTATAGATTTTGGAGTAGTTGAGTAGCCATGAAGGACGTGCAGTAAGCTTTAGCCCTTCAGAAGTCAAACAGTTTCAAACCACTTCTCTCATAATCGTATGCGAGTTTGAGTTTAAAGAACTTAACGTTCGTTCAGTCCGGACCTCGTGGACGCTCTTCCTTCAATGAAGAAAAGGGAATTGAGGTTTCACTTGTTTGTCTTTACTGCGTACATTTGTTTTGTTTGAAAAAAAACATAAATATAGTATAAATTGCATGTCTTTCAGTATATTATGCAAAAAAATATGAATTTAGTTTCTCTGTTTGTTTATTGGTTTACTCTCGATTTGTTTCAATTCCTTTTTTGAAAAAAAATGATGATAAAGATTACACATCTAAATCCTTCTTATTGGCCAATCAATTAGCAAGCAAACTGTTTCCATGCCAACGTTCTAGAAATCTGTTAAAATCAAGCTACAAAGCTCCGAACAAATCATGTTTCTATTTTGTTAAGTTCTGCAAAGTCTAGTACTGGTATCGAGGTTTCCTGCTAACCTCTTGGAGTCTTCAGTGGAGAAACTGCCTTAAAAGTAACAACCATAACTAGATACCGATGTGTAACAGATGTTTGACTCGACTGATTCGTGCTGTTTTGCGCAGCTACAACCAGTTTAATATTTCTAAACATGGAAACAGTACACGAGCTATATTCTGTGTGCAATGTGTTTCCAGTAACAAATTAGCTACTATTTCCCGGGGTGGTTTTGTGTAATAAGGCAAATTTTAGTGAAGTTATCGTACTTAGCAATAAAGACAAATGGTGCCAAACAAGTTGGGATTTTTACTGAAGTCTATTGTGTTTATTAGAAGCATTTCTTTCTTTCAGTTTAAGTGGCACGCCTCAAAACTAGCTTATTGTAGCTAAGCGCGTCGACCATTTTTAACACTTTCTTTTAAATGAATAAACTACTCCACCTTATTACTTTTCTGTTTTGTTTAAATAAGAGTAAAAAAAAGTAGTTCGGAAAGCAACCCTAGCTGATAAAAAGAAACAGTGAGCGAGCACAATCAGCAAGCACTAAATTAGTACCCAGATTTGCCACTAATTTGGAGCTGAAGTGTGGGTTTGTTACAATATACTTTGTAACGAACGAAAATCTAAAAAGTGATACTTTCTATCATGTATATGTCATGGTTTAACGAGCGGTTTCGCAAGAGTGTTTTTCTCCTCATATGAGCCTGGCCATATGTGTTTGCATGTCAATATTTCAGTCCAAAATCAGTTAAACACCTTAACGCCGTACAGTGCATTTTGATTCGAACAAGTTGCTAACAAGTGGTAAATACGACTAATAAGAAATTCAAAGCTATCAATTTCAGGTCTAAAGTATAACATGTGGGTTATAAAGGTCATTTTAAAGAGGTTAAGTAGCCATGACTAAGATTGCTATCTGTTTTGAAGATGACTGCCTACAATAAATTTGATATTTTCGATACATGACTGTGAAAGGTAACCTTTCCACGCCAGTGAACAATGAGAACAAATCCAACGCAACGCATACAGACTTTGAACTTAACAAAAACAGAAATCTACTGGAATTCATGAGTGATTTTTTTCATAAACACATGACTATGAACACCTTTGATTCGTAAGATCACTTTGAACAATCTTTGATTGGCAATAACCTTTGCATGACAATCGAATATTGCTGTTTGTTTCTACAAATGGGAATAGCCAAACCAGATATTTTTAAGTAGCAAGTCTTATAAGAAACACTTTTGCCCACAGCCTAAATGATGCATAGCAACACACACCTGCAAGAGCCTGCAACATCATGCTGCAGCTATGGGTCTACATGCACTTTGCATGCACTTCAATTCTATTCGCCAGACATTCCACTTCCAAAACAGCAATCTCATTTTGACCTTTTCGAGCTGAAACCCTTCAAAAACAATCCAAGAAACCTCGAAAGGTTGTTCGAATAATTTTCACTAGAAATGTGTCACATATTTCAGGAATGTTAGACATTCTCGCATCCTGATCAAATGTTACTATCTAGCATTCCACAATGATATGAAATCTTGATGAAATTGTGCTCGCCTTTGGTCTGCACTACCTAATTAATTGAATACTCCCTAATTGTTGACAGAGTGATATGTTTACAACATAAAGAGCCTCAATACAGTTTCTTCTGTGGTTTTGCCCTCCTCTACTTTTTGTAGCAGCCATCTCATTGCTGATTTCCTTTAACAGACCTGCAGCTAATTGCCACTCGCCGAGGAATTGCACAAAAGAACGATTTTAACACAGGAAGAGGTCCTTGAGTTGGTCTCTGCCATTTTTGGAGGTTATTCAGTTTCTTAAACTCTGAGGAATTCTAACTTTCATCGGTCTATTGTGATAAACTATGGCCGGAGACAGAGCGATATCTATTGACCTTTTCGCTAAAAGGCGACGTAAAAGAAACAGGAGGCAGTTATACAGGCAGATGCAAAAGTGGACTTTTTTGCTGCACGCTAGCTGTCAGTCCCTTATAATCTCGCTCTTTAACCTAAATGAAAACTTCTCTCTTCTAGGTAAAAATAGAGGTCCAGTAAATATTAAACGGCCAAACTAAAGTTAATTTACATTGCAAAAAATGGCGTCCATTGCAAACGAACACTAACCATGACTAACTGTGCGTTGTCATGACACACTGGTCAATATTTTTCAAATGTTCTCATTCGACTTATTCGATGATGACGATTAGAAATGTCAAGATAAGAAATATCTCACACATGCTTTTTATAAGTGTCATACCGTCAACTGAAACAAAAAGTACCCTTTAAAAAGGCCCTCAGTAGGCAAGATACGCCAATTTAAGGCTGACTTTCCGAGAGACCAGAACGAAGAAACCTCAGTGTTTGCAGGACCTAAGAAAAACAGAAAGCGGAGTCGCCATGTTAATCAAGGTAACCCACGTGAAAACACTTTCGATGCAATGCTTTGGTGTTGTAGAATAGAAAACCTTAAATTTTACTTGAAGACTCTTGGCTGAAAAATATGCTTTGAAAAGACAGCAAAATGTCCAGAAGCACTACAAATTGAGACCTCAAATTGTTTTTCTTGACGTTTACCTGCCCATCCCAAAAGATAACAAGTCTCCCAACTGATAGACAAACATTTGTTTTAATTTTAGGTTTGAAAATTTGCTACAGTAATACATAGAATTGGAATTTAGTGACGCATTCTTGCGAGTATCAGTTTACAGCATTTCGTGATTAGACGTTATGTTACATAATTTGCAAGCTCCCGGTTATGTAAGTTGTAAGTTCCCCGTTATGTTAACTCGGGTTTCATGAGGCTGGTTTGGATCTCAAACACATTGCAACTTCTCATATACTGCTGCTGAATAGAATAAGGCCAGTTCAGGTTGCGGAGGATTGCAATCAGTGGTTTAGATCTCAAGCACATTGCAACTGCCGGTAGTGCTGCTGCTCAATAGAATAGAGCTAGTTAGGGTTGCAGCGGATTGCAATCAATGAGGGTGGTCACTTGCCAAGGGACGACTACACAGTTGGCCGCGGAATGGAACCGTCATCATGAAACGAGGTTTGGCCGGTTCCCATGCAGTGAGATTTAAGATGTTACTATTTTAAACCCGACCAACAAACTAGACCTGCATTTAAAAAAAATCCGCTCGTATTTTTGATCGGTTAATTCTCCGGCGAATTCTTCATTCTCTCATTTTCCTTCGCGCATGTTTTTAACAGCCGAGTCAATCAGGCCCGTTTCTCGTTTGTCCACTTGACCCTGACGCGATAAATTTGATTGGGATAAGTTGGCGGTCTTTTTAGCGTTTCACATTGGCCAGAAAACAGAAGATTTTTGTTTAACAAGTGTAGTCAAAAGGCGTCGAATCTTCGTAATTCTCTTTTATGACATTTGGTCACATGCAGTATTCATTTAGTGTGGAATCTGAGAACTCTAGATTTCGGGCAGCACGATCGAGAGCTGTTTTCCCAGTTAAACAAGCTCTAGATAACAATTTGTTTTTTCGGCTTGTTTTGTATCGTATTACGACCAAATTTGGACGAGAGACAATTACAAATCAAAACAGACTTAGCAAATGTTGAATGAAATAGATTTGGATTGCGTGCCCTCACGATCGTTAATTTCTCGCATGCCAAGCTACAATAATTGGAAAATCTTTCAGCTGTGATTGGCGTTCGATGCACGAAAACCCTCAAAGGAAGCCAGGAGAAGATTTAAGCTTTCAACAGTTCGTCTCATCTGACAACAGCCTCAAACTCCCAAAGAATGTCAGACTGTGCAAGGCATCGCGACTGTAAGGTCACAAACGTGGTAGGACATCTTTCCTTGCCGTGCACGATAGGAAATTTTTAAACTGTGGTAACCTATAAATCCCATTAGATGAGTCATCTCATATTGGAGCGCTAATCTTTTCCTCTCGAGAGTTTTAATCAACATCCACTCGAGGCCAGATGAAAGCCGCTCTTATTTTAGTGGTAAATATATGTTCGTGACGAACCTGTTGGTGGAATTAAATAGCGATATATGCTTTCAAACCGGGTTACAAAGGCGTATCACCAAACCTACAAGAGAAATTTTGATTCAAGGTTAAGTTTGAAAACTAAGGTTTCAGACGCTAGGTATTTAGAGCAGCATGTGTTTTCGGGCCTTGATTTTCTTTGTTAGAATGCTAAGCGGAGTGTGTTTTGAATTATTTAGTTAGTTAAGAGTGACATGTGTCAACTCCATGTTTGCTCTATATTACACTGCATTATCAGAAACTCAAACAAGCTATTGGTCATTCATTGAAATCCAACTCTTCACCGTGGTGACATATGTGTCGGCTGACGAGGTCACCCTTAAACTGGAAATATTTCCGGTAAAAAAGCCCTCTGGGTGCTAGACGCTAATTTTATATGAGAACCTCAAGGGAAGAGTTCACAAGTGCCGTGCTTTTCTCGATTAACTCCGTACATCTGTATCCAATAAGTTCGACGAATTTCCAAATTCAAACAGGGTTGGATTCAGTGCCTTTTAGCCAATCAGGAGACGCAAAATGGTATTATAAGCAGCTAGTCGGCTTATTTGAGCGCTAACTGCATGTGCTAAAGAGATTACAGTTTAAATCAGCGAGAGTAGAGTAATCAAGCTAAGAACGAATCTTGACTGAGCTTTCGTCTCTTGTAGACCTTCACCGATCTCATAATGAGGGTGCAGAGAAGAGTTCGCCAAGTGCCCCTGGTGTTCTGTTTGATGATCCTCACGTCGTATTTCCAAGCTGGACAAAGCGTATGGTGGGTAGCAAACCTCAGTCTTGTCACCTCACTAGTGTCTATTTTGTTGTTATTCAGGATGTCGTTTTCCGTCGTTGAGGGTTTAGGTTTGCCTTCGGTTTACACAAAAGCATCTGGAACAGATTCGAAAAAATACCTCAGTTCCGTTGAAGTGAGCTGTTGGCTTAATGTTTACTCGCTAGTAAACGCGAAAGTGTCAAGAGTTGCACTTGAGCAAGAAGGCCCAACCAACCGCACGCCGTTGAATTCAGTTTCCAACTACATTTTCTTTTCATGGCGTGATTTAGCCACGGCGCTCGTTTCGCCTTTCGCATCAATTTCTCTGGGGGGCTCGTTAATGGTTTTATAATTCCTGGGAAGACGATTACTTGCAAATTACTTAGCCAAACATCTACCTTATTTTACATTCAAACAGGTCGCTCGGTATTCCACACCAAGTCTATATTGTAGGCACAGTGACCTCGGTTTGCGATGGTATGGGCTTGACTAAGGGGCAAACGAGGTTGTGCGTGGCGAACCGAGAACTTATGCCCAGTATAAGAAATGGTGCGCGCCTCGCCACTGAGCAGTGCGAGTATCAGTTTAAGTATCGACGGTGGAACTGTTCTGTCCCAGAAAGAGACAGTAAAGCACCCTTTCGTCGCATCACAGGCAAAGGCAAGTATTTAGCGATTTCTCTACTGCTCTCTCATGGCTTTGTTGATTATTTAAGCTGCCATAACGCGGGCATTTGCTATCGTTCCTTGAGAACATCTGCTTTTGTGATTACTACACTGTATGTTTGTTTTGCATAAGAAACCTCAATTAAAGTCGTGCCCATGTTGCATAGCAGCGAATACATTAGACGTAGAACTTAGCGACTAAGCAGGCATTTCCCTGGGCTATTAGCCATGGCGATAGTTGTCGCATTTCTTCGAAAGCGGGAAAATCTAGTTGGACATAGTAGCAAAATGCCGGAACGCGGCGAAGACATACAGAGGCGCCTTCCGGTCGTTTTCTTTGAGTGGTGCTCGGTAGTTATACACGATAAGTTATTTGATTGCTTGTTTTCAATTTTTGAAGGAAATTACCTCTAAAGCAAAATGGTGATAAATAAGAAGATATTTTAACAAGCGGTGTCTTATTCGAGATCACGCACTCCTTTGCTCTGGGACAGAGGTTAATGTTTTGGTGCCATTAGTATGTCATGAAAATTTTACTTTTCAATGTCCATTTTTGGCTATTCAAGTCCCCCCACTTTACTGCATCTTTAAAACTTCATCTTCATCTGCAACTGGAAGTTTTTTTAGTCAGTCTCAGGAATAACACATGTTTTCAAAGAATTTCATCTATTTATATGAGCTTGCTCAGTGAGTCTCGAGTGTGTAAAGGAGAGCTATATTGAATTATTGACGGTCATCTTTGTTGTATGATATGATTGAAATGTTCTTCCCCCAACTATAACCATTGCACTGTCTTCTTACAGATCAATTACCTGTAATAAGCAGGCTGACGTTTTCAGTTGAACTCAAAACTTATTTTTAGAGAATAAGTACATCTGTTTCAGTTTTCTGAAGAGGACCAGACCAGCCTTCAGTATTGATGTTCTCTGTCAAGAGTATCTCTCGAATCTGTCGACTGCTCTTCTCTCTGTTATCGTATTTGAGAGGCTGTTACTGCGATAACTTTGAAAGTTGCTTATTTTCTAAGTCGTCAAAAGGTGGCAGAAGTTTTTGCGTGCCTCAATTTGGTCAACAATTCTTAGCCTTCAACGTGGTGTGTTTTACACCGTCATGTTCATGTTACATGTGCAAACTGCAAGTCAGTCATGTCCACATTATCAAGATTGCTTTTGTTAAAGAAAGAGTGCTTTTAAAAACCATGAAAATATAAAAAGGGGTGCCTGCAATGGTGTAATTTAGTGTTAAATGTAACATGATGCAAGATGAACTTTGAAATCGGAAACATTTAACTTAAACAAAGGCATTGATCAATCTTACCTCCTACAAGATTTCAAAAGACCTCGCTCAAAAAGTATTTCAACCTCCCTAAATTTATTCTATTAGCGTCAAGCGTATTTAAATTAGCAAAGCTGTTTGTTGTAATATTATGCCACGAATGCTCTGCGAAGGACAAAAAATTAGCGTGAGATATTTTTAATTAACTTTTAAATGCTGATAATTTTTCAACAATGAATAGAAATTTTATTAAGTTTACTCTGACGCCTAGCGGGGTTTCGTTCTTAAAATTAATTTGGTGATAGGTTTTTTTTTTCTTTGGGGGGTTTGCCTTGTTTCTCTGATGATAGAGGATATTTTAGAACGTTTTTGGATTTGTTAATTTACATGTGTTTAACACTTGTTTATCAACGCAGCATTTAGTTTTTTGCCTCAACTCTTCGAACCTAACACAACCTGTTCATATCGATGGCTTTTGTAATTGGGTTCTATATGCTTACTACCTACAGATATACGTTTTGTTTTCTAAATATCGTGACCTGATTTCATCTTTAATTACTGTATTTCTTTTTGGATTAAGAGCAGTCTTTCACTGTGCCATAACATACATGTAAATTAAGTAATAAATAACTGCAACTGCACCGTAAATTGGTTATTATTTTTTGGAATAATTTATTCACAAATTGTTTGCTCTTTTTTTCTTTTTGTTCTATATCGTTATCTGTAGTTTGTGAAGGATACTATGATGAAATCACCACTGGTCACTTTGTTCTGAAGCCCCTAATTTTGAGCAGGCTTTCATTGACCAGCTTACAAGAAGTCATAGTCAGTATCTCTATTATAATTCTAAACCGCCAAATTCCCCAATACAGGAGAGATTTACGATAACCTTGACGATGTAATATTGTGTGCAATTGCAGGAACACGCGAGGCGGCTTTCACCTACGCCATAGCAGCTGCTGGAGTCGTCCATTCCATAGCCCGCGCATGCGTAGGAGGCAATCTCAGTCTATGCGGTTGTAGCAGAGAACCCAGACCGGAGAACTTGAAGAAAGATTACCAGTGGGGTGGGTGCGGAGACAATATTCTATATGGCGCTGAAGTAGCGAAGCAATTTTTAACCGCTGGTGAAGAACATAAATCTAAAGATTCGAGTAAAATGGAGAGGACGTTGATGAATTTGCACAACAATGGAGTCGGAATACAGGTGAGAAATGACGAATTGCGACTCAATGTTTTATTCATCCCTGATGTTGGGACGTTTTTTTTTTTTACTTAATTAGGGAGCTTAAGCAATGACGATGGCGACCCTGAAGACAACGCCTAGTAAAAAATGAATTTGTATTTTACCTTCATATTCCGCAATTTTCTAGATCTGTTCAGCGTGCCTATTGGTCTCAGAACCTGGTCAAGCTAAATATGTAAAGCCAGCGTTCAAATTCCAAATGAAAATACGAGAAATTAGCTGTCGTCGTTCGCGTTCTCCAAAATACGCAGAACTTAGCCATTTCTGGTTGTTGTTGTTGTTGTTGTTGTTGTACAGAGGACGGCAAAGAAATGTGCAAAGATTTATAACGCACGTGCACAGCTATCGTTTTGCTCCTTAAACTTTTGCTTGGTGGAGTTCCTATTGTCGTTGCCGTCGTGGTTTGCTTAAGGTTCATATTAAACAGAAAACTTCTGGAAGAAAACGCAACAGCAAATTGTCACCGTGCATAATTAAGCACATGCCCAATTATGTTATAATTAGTGTAGATGTTCTCTATATTCTGCCCATTCTGCAATGACAGATTAAACTCCTGACGTCAGGATAAGCGTAACGCTGCAACTCCTCTGCGCGTCAATAAGTGATAAATGTGGCCCTTGAGGTAAATGGGGTGAACATATTGTCTTGAATGTTACTACTCAGGTTTTCTTGCCACTACAACTTCTTTTCGCAGCTGAAAACAATTAATATATATCAAAAGCAATATAACAAATGCACATTTTCTGGAGTACCGTACGATGGACAAGAGCTGTTTTCAAAGCTTGAGTTCGCTGTATAATCACATCTTTAGCAATTTAGCGTAAGCAAAAAATAGTACTAAGCACAGGCTTTCCAGATTGTATATGACCCATGAATGTTTTAATCTTTGCCTCAACGCGAAAAACTTGATCTGTTTTTCTCCACGAACAACATCGTGCAATTTACAGATTATAGGGTGGCCAAACAAAACCCCTTCGTCTGCCCAGAGTTAGTTCTGTGGTTTTGTGCCCAACAAGTCACTAAAATGAGCGATATTCTGAACATTGCTCTATGCATTTGTAGGTTCTACACAAACATGAAGCAATAAAAGTTCACAAGACGTTAAAACGATTAAGCCATCGATATCGTGGTTGCCAGTATTCACTTCGGAACTCTTTAGATCTTTATTATAACATTTTTATCATATCTAAAAGTTTCAGAAATACCGGCGGAATCTTTTGACCGGACATCTTTCAGGGAAGCATAATTTCCGCCGCTCCCCTGTGTCTGCATGAATTCTCCCTGGCGCTGTTGGCGATCGACGGATAATCCCAAACATCATGTCATCACTGCAAAAAAGAAATTGTTTGATTAAAAATTAGTCAAACGTTTATATCCCTTGAAATGAGAAGCTACACAAATTTGATAGAGGTTGCACCCTACTTGCTCTGGCTTAGCAAGACATGTTTTACTTTTAGTTTTGAAGAAATATTTACACTATTTCTCTAAACGACAACATAAACTTCGACACTTCCCTAACCAAATTAAGTCAAATAATCAACAAAAACTTAATGTTATCTAGCTATTATGTTTGTGTACAGAATAAAATGTATAATAGTATAGTTGTTTCCTATAGTTCAGGAATCTAACTTGCTTACGACAAGGAATATCCTAATTTCGGCTTGGCCTTTCCATTATACTGCGTTCGTGCTCAAACCCTACTCTTCTCTAGATCCTTAACAGAACTTTCCTAAGTACGTATGTTGATAGCATTTAGGGTGACGAAATTTCTGCTCAGAGGCTCTATTTCGTTCGGGCAGTGTACGTGCAAAAGTTGTAACTTAAATGATTTCAAGTTTCGACTTGAAATTTTCGCCTTTCCATTACTGGCCTTGCTCTTGTGTTCAGACTCTACTTTAAGGGTCCATTGGGATGTCTTTAGAAAATATTGTTATAACGTCTGAGCTGAAGGTATTTCTGCTTGGAGGCAGCATTTATTCGTCCACAAGCACAAAGTCTTCCAGTGTCAGGCAAATCCAAGGAGGGTTGTAATTCAAGTCAGTACAAATAATGAAACATCTTTCAATGCACCAGGGCAGTTTTTGCAAAATTTTTCAATCCGGTTGTTACCTTAAAAAGAAAACTCGTTCATTGCCTTGGTAGGAAATGTTCATTACTTTTAGTTTGCGGTTTTGTTAATATCTTCTTGCTAGTAGTTTCACTTCCTTTGTCGACTTGTTATAGAAATAACCGCGATGTTTTTGACTAGACTTTCTGCAAGGAGACCTCCAAGGAGGAAATGTGGTAATTTCTGAAATGAACAGGGAATTCCTTCGACGTTAATGGAAAGGTTTGGACAGTTATTGTCGAGTGCCTTTGCTGTTAATTCCGTTACGATTCAAGGAAACACATTCGGTAAAATTGTCCAATTAACCCTTCTCGTCTACCTTATTTCCCAGGGCTTATTTCTTTAGTGAGCTGTCGGCACAGCGTGCACGTAAAAAAACTGATTTTGCGGCCCTCTTTGTGTCCCACCCTAGTCATTGATATGTATCTTATTACCCGAGTAGATAAATATCAGACAATATTATTTTCTTTGAGAGGTTATCTGTCATCGGTACAGAATTCTCTCGAGTCAACTCCTTTCCGTGACCGCTCCCCTTGTATCAAACGTTTAACGGCCACTAAAAAAAACAGATTGCCGCTTTTATTTCCTAAATTATCAAATATGTGTTTTATCTTACCGACAAAATTACATTTTTGACTGTATGATGTTTTTTCGTAGACACCGGCGCGAAACGACTTGGGGCGACTTCTAGATTTTCCATGTTCACAAACTTAATGGACACATTATTAACTTCAAAATTAAAAGTGATTTTGTTGCATTCATTGAGAAGGGTGAGACAAGGATGAATTCTCTTCATTTCTGAGCAAACCTGACTCTTTTATCAGCAAGTGTGACGTAATCTTGGGTCCCAAAGTAGATAAAGTCTTACAGGAAATTGAAATATAAATTATTAAGGGAGCACTGTAATCTTTCTATCTCGTGCACGCTGTGTACAGAAGACCAAAACCCACCTCCACTGCAAGCCTAAAAATAGTTTAACCGTGTATGTCAGAGTAAACAAGCTATAGACCCATAACGGTGGGGAGAATGGGTAAAGGTTTAAAGATAGATGCACAAGGCTTACGCTTCCAAGTTCTTCGTTACTCTGCATTTCAGTAATAGCTCTGCGGTTCCATTTAATTTCAGCCCATTTTATTCGCATACATTGCATACCGTGTCATATGACATTTTATAGCCGGAAATTTACTCTTGCGCAGGCACCGACACGGACTTGACCATTGTTTTGAATACTCGGGTTGAGGACGGCATTTTAACAGTTATTCTTTTTACCTAGTTAGTATGTTTAATCTAGCTGTCATCTGGCAAACTCAGGTCAAGGTTAACCGTGCACACACATTGCATTTGCTATTCCTCAGAATGTAAAAAATCAATCGCCGCAAGCATCCGTTGTATTGACATGTGAGGAGACTTCTTGTCTGGTACTCCAGCTCCCGTTAGCCTTCAAAATTAGTAAACGAAAAGAGTTCGTCAAGCGTTTCTCGGATTGGAAGTTTTCTCCGAGTTTCTCTTGATTTGGGTCATTTGTTGGTGAGGTATTCCATGGTCTCACACTTAAAACCAAACACAAGCTTCCCACTAAGACCAAAATCAGTTCATATTTGACGTTTTCTATATCTTTACTACATTCGCCCAATAAGTCATGCCAAATTACGCCCAATTGCCATATCATGTGCAGTATTGTTCGATATCATGAATCACCATTGCTTAGTTGATCTTGCGATCAGTTGCTTTTTATGCCATTTCCTTTCGTATTCACCGATTCCTCAAGTGTTGTGAGGTACTAGACTGACTTACAGAGTGGATGGTAGTTTTAACGTCATCGGAATCCATCGCAGATTGTGGTATATCATTATTATTTTCTCCACAATTCACTGTTTGAACCACTAGATGCTGTGTCATCATGATGTCCATTCTGGTTCAGTTTACAGTTTATTTACATGTATAAAGATTGTTGTCTACACTATTTGAGCTCATTCTGAAGCGTTCACTGAGGTTCGAAAGTCATCGTCCAGTTGTGGTTGTCTCATCTCCACAATTCTCCTTGTGCATTGGTTTTCCATCATCCACTTTGTGAAACGTAACCCGAGACCTGCATTTTGCCCTTCAGTTGAAGAGCTGTTCAGTGCCGCAACTGGTAACTCCATTGTTACTTTCACGTATCACCAGCGATTTCTCCAGATGCATCGGTTTCTGAACAGCAAATAACCCTTGTTGTTTTCATCACGTTTAGGTCGTGCAGGCAAATACTGTAATCAGGTGCAAGTGTCACGGAGTAACGAGTTCTTGTGAAATGAAGACGTGCTGGAAAGAGCTCGTCAGGTTTTCTAAGATTGGACGTATTCTCACGACGAAGTATGATGCGGCCAGCAGAGTTAGATACGACAGAAGAACTGGACGGATCATGAAAGCCTCCAGAAAAGAGAACGGCTACACGAGGGTCGGAAAACGCAGAAGCACCTTAAGCAGACCAACCACAGGCAATCTGGTATTCGTGGAACGCTCACCTGACTATTGCGAACGAAGTAAAGAAGATGAAACACTAGGAACCACTGGCCGAGAATGCAAAACTGACATCGAGGGTCATGGCAGTTGTACCGAACTGTGCTGTAGACGAGGATTCCGTCGAGATGTGTCTATTGTCCAGCAAAGGTGCCAGTGTAAGTTTGAATGGTGCTGCTACGTCAAGTGCAAGACGTGCGACAGGGAACAGATCAAAAACGTTTGCCTCTAAGTGTGACTAATATCTACCAAGCCAATCCAAGACTTGTTTTATCTCACAAGAGCAAGGAAGCGACTGTTTACGAACTGACATTGATGAGCAATGCAAAGATACAATGTTTGTTTGCATGGTTACGCCTGACAGAGAAAGTTGAACATGCAACTTAGTGGAGTGAAACTTGACATTTACGAGCAACGAGAAGGGAACACCCTGACGTCTGCTTTTCTGAGAAAAAGTTTCCTATTTTACATCCGCGACCGCTCGATTCATAAGTTCTAAGAAGTGATACGGACGATCTCTATGATTAACCTTTCTGTTTATATATTACATGGCCAGTGCGTGAGACATAGCTATATAGACTAAAGCAAAAATATCTCTTTTACAATACTGATATAATGTTCGAGAATTCTTAACTGGTACATAACATGTTGGATTGTGTGGAAGGTATTCTTTCAAGATTTCAAATAAGCTTGTCACCTAATGTATAAAGCTTCAAGATAAACGTTTTTGATATAGTTTACGTTAAGTCTGTAAAATAGAGAATTTACCATTTATAATATAAAGACATATACCAACTGTCCATGGACATATCTGTAATTTTGATACCATTTACCTTATACAAATACTTAGCCTCAAAATTACAGCAGATCTCTGAAACTTTCACTTCAGTTCTTCTTACTGGAAAAGTTCAAGAATAGGAACGTCAGTTAAACTGGCCAAACATTTTAGGGTCGTTTAACCTCTTAGCAATCCCGAAAATAAGACGACTTTTTGTCAAATCAGTTTTGATAAAAATGAGAATAAATGTGAACTTTAAAAATTTTGAACTAATGCGAAAGCGTGGTCTTCCACCCCTCACATCAATGCATAAACATATTCTGGAGCTTTTTAGTGTAACGGTTTAAAAATTGCGTTGTTTATCGAAACTAATAGCTGAAAATTGTTGACTAATGAGATTTACCAGCCAGCGCGAATAAAGGACTTCTCATCGCTAGAGGCCGGTTTGGCCGCGATCGATAAGAGGCAGTTGTATTACTAGTTTATAAGTCCTTCTAATGAATCCACAGTCACACTGATTTTGTTTCTAAGCCTTTTTGGAGCAAAACATGTTTTGGTCGTGTAAACGGGACAGTAGACACTAAGATTTCTTGTCGGCAGTAAAACCTTTGAATGCCGGTCGCACCAGTTAAGTAATACTCAGTCGCAGAAATCTGATCGCTGTAGATAAAAGGGAATAATGGGAACTTTCATGTTACTAAATGTCATAATTAACAATCAATGTTTATTCACACAGTCACACAGCAATTTCTAATCGTCTTTAGCTAAATACAGCTTTACCATGTTTCGGCAACGTCAGAACTGGTGAGACAAATTCCTTTCATCGATGCATGTCAAAGACAAACTTATTACATTGCACCAAATGAGATTTCAAATTTCCAAATGCAGCCCAAAGTTTCACTGCTTGCGGTTTAACCAGATAGTAAACTAGAGTAATGATCGACTTTTTTCTTTTTTTTTTTTCGAAATCCCACAATGAAGTCAACGCCTGAACAGCTTTCGTTTGTCTTGTTTCTGCCTAAGAAATCTCATTAGGGAAACCTAGTCTAGGTGAAATATGTAAGTTAGTAACAAAAAATAATGATGATTATTTTCCTCACGTGGTACCTGATCGTTACGTTACGATAAAATAGATGATGTAATCTTTCTGTATCACGGCGGTTTCCCTGTGTGGACATTGGTGCACAGTTTGGTGCTCGGTATAACACTTGTTCTGTTTGCTCAGTCTCAGCATGATTGATTATTCTATTTTTCTGCACAATATAACGTAGTTTATGGAAGCAAATACCCCTAGACCCCATGAACCTGGCAAATGACCAGTTCACCGCAAGTCTCCCTGTATTTCAGTGGTTAGAGAATGCATCAGTCCAGCATGTGGAATTTCGTAGGTTGAATGTCAGGGACTCAGATGTTTCTTTGAGCAGTGAGCAGCAACCCTTACGTATTCCTTTCAATGGATCTTTTTGGACCATCTCACGCGCGACCGCCGTTCTCGTCTCTTCAGCCCTTAAATCCTTTTAGATAAATTCAGATCATCTCCCTAATTCTGCCACGACGAGATGAATGCTACATGGGACGCGCGTCCTTTATGGAACTTGAGCGGACGAACTCGAATTGGCCAATCGTAGTGCGCAAAGTCCTTGAATATTCCTTATAAAAAGTTATGATTCATGTGCCTTTGTCACGAGATTGAGCCTTCGAAAAGGCTTCTCTTATTCATAGAAGTACATGTTAGGAACACTCGAGAAGTGTCTCTACCCCGCATAGCGTCCCTCGTGTGCCTCCGAGTCTCATCTCCTCGGCTAAAAGATTCCCGTCTGCTTATGTAACTTAACAATGCACTACTTATTTAGCTTCTTACAGCGAGTTTCTCCGAAATTGTTCCAATTTGCGATATATAGTATATAATAACATAATAACTATAACATAATAATATATAATAGTAATGTATAGTATATACTATATAATTACATATATTATAAAATATAGTATACTATTTAGACCTAATGCATATATATTTTATTTGATTCTGCCCAGTAATTTTATTATCACCTTTTTGTACAGATTTATTTTATATTGTTAGCTTTCTTGAGCTAAGTCCATTTGACACTTGTCTCTTCATTGTCACCATTACACTGTACCATCGTCATCGTCATAATCATCCTCTTCATCATCATTATCATTAATATTATTATTATCCTCATCATCTGTGACAGCTACTCGTCCGGTAATGATAAATCACTTATCTGTCTCGCACTCTGTTTGCAATGTCATAAATGTGGTATTTTTATTTACTTTCCACATAGGTTGTAAGTGAGGAAGCGCGTGTCTTTTGCAAGTGTCATGGCCTCTCAGGATCGTGTAACATTAAAACTTGTCAGAGACATATTGCCGAGATCCGAGTGATCGGCGACTTGCTGCACAAGAAATACGACAATGCTCTTCGCGTTAAAATGGAGAAGAAAAATGCGATGGATATTCTTCAAGTTATGAAGAGGAAAAAGAACGGTGGAGGTCGTCGAGATAACGCCAAATTAAGAAGCACCCATAAAAAGCCACCCAGCGACGCCCTGGTTTTCTTGAAGGACTCGCCTAACTACTGTGTCAGAAGCGGGAAGCACGAATTTCCAGGTACTGTAGGACGAACCTGCAGCATTGAATCGTATGGCACGGATAGTTGTGAAGACCTATGCTGCGGTCGAGGACATAGGTCGGCAAAGGTCACGACAACGCACAGATGCAAATGTAAATTTCATTGGTGCTGTGAGATACGATGCGACAAATGCACGAAAGTAGAGATACAACACACGTGCAGGTGAATACGAGTCACGTGGCCACGCGCTGGAAAGACAAATCTTGAAGATGACGAGTGGTATGAACACAAATGAACTTACAATGCGATGTACAGGCGCATATTTCTTCAATTTTAGGCAGTTGCAGAAAGCCGTTGAAGCCGACTCGGAACTTGTCAAGTGTGTTAGTGTAAAGGCACTTTATCGGGTTAGCAGCTGTAAAAGCAAACTGACTCCTGGACAAGTGAAAAAGAATAGTTTCGGTGTTATTCACAACGTACAAACCTTGCTTCAAGGTTTTGCACGAATGCGCTGAACAACGCAATTGGCGCATTCTTAAATTTTTTTATGTAATGTCCGTGTATTGGCTTTCATTCAGTAGTGTTTATTATTCAAATAATGAATTAATGAAGGGTTACAAAAGAAAGATTAGTTCGCTGTTAGCTAGTTTCTGTGGAGCACTGTAATATATTATTATAGTTACAGTTTAAGGCTGTGTTTGCACTTGGTGCCGGTGCCCGAGCACTGCGAGTGCCTGGGCACAAAATAGGGTTGCATTCAGACAAGGTGTGCTCTAAAGATTCAAGTACCCTTTAGTGCCCGAGAACAATATGGAAACCATGTACCCGGCAACTGTGCCCAAATTCTGGTATGAGTCACTTGGACAAAAAGTGTGTTCACATTAGTACCCAGCGAGGATCGTGTTAGGGCACCAAGTGGTGACATAGCCTAAGTGACTCCGTGTTACAGGTTTCGCCGGTTGTGTGAGCCTGAATAGTTTATGATGTAGTTGTAGTCTTATCACTTTGTGTTTGCTCTCGGAATCCATTAGAGTGAGCTGTTGATCCTATTATGTGACTGAGGATTTTACTTCATTGCACTCGCTGAGAACAGGAAAACTTATCATTTTGAATTTTCACTCAGTTTACAGAGCCGTGACCAGTAACAAGCGAACCGAGAAACTTGCCTTAGTGAAAACTTTGAATTTATTTATTTCAAATTCTCGAAGAGGCCATGCGTTAAAAAAGTAAATCAATATAAAAGAAGCGTTTTTTCTGATATTGCCTCGGTAAGAATTTTAGTCTGGCTACGGGCTTGGTGTAAATAAGGCGCACGTGTTCTCACGTGTAATTTTCTCAGTCACATAATAAATGACTAAGACCACTTCCACACTTCGTCGAAGATATTTGAAAACGTAGCTTTATTTCGACTGTTAGGTCTACCGTCCACACTAATCCGTTACGAAAACGGAGCTTTTCGAAAACGCTCTTTAAACCGGAGGAATTTGAAAACGCCGGTCTTTTGTTTTCGTGTGGGCGGAAAACATTTTGAAAACGGAGCTTTTCGAAAAACGATGACGTCAGTCACGATAATCATGTAATTTTCCTGACCGAGGTTTCCACAAGCACAAATCAAAAATGACTGGTGATTGCTGCATTTTAAAATTCCTCCGGCGTATTGTGGACGGACAACAACAACAAAACACTTGATACGATTTCAGAGTGAAACTCCTGTTTTCAAATTCCTCCCGGCGGCGTAGCGTGGACGAGGACAAACTGTATAGAAAAGCTCAATTGAGGATTTTCACTACACCTGGTATTTGAATTTTTCTCCAACTGTACTTGCCTAAAGACTAGTGCAATTTTGAGAGAATGTTGAAATATGAGTGAGAATAGCATATTATAATATCTTGATCTTCCTTCTCAGAGCTATCATTGAAAGAAATGTGTGATAGACAGACAGGAGATAAAGTTTGAAACAAAAACGTTAATCGGTTTGATTTCTAGTAGTTCGTTCTAAATGTGGTTTTGTTAAGTTTTTACCCGTTGGTCTGGCACTTGTATTTATTATTTGTAATTTCCACGTATTCTTGTAAGCCTATTTAAGATGCTTTCGTTGGAACTACTTTTTGGGATCTCTTTCCTAGATATAAAATCTCTTTCCTATAGGAGACTTCTTCCTCTCAAGACCAACCAACGAAAGAGCTCGTAGCAGTAAACGAGTCTTAAAGTGTTTTATTAATTGTGGTAAAAAAAAGAGCAGTGGGAAAAGAAACACACTAAAATGAAACAAAGAAAACCCGTGTGTTAAGGGATAAACTGTTGACAGTTTCCATCTAATTCTTTGCATTATCAATTAACAGAGATTGTAGCATAAAGTACGTTTACGGGCAGTTTTTTGTAGATGTTATTTAGCGCTTATTTAGCATGGTTAGTCTTGATTTATTGATTGTTTTATAGTCTTTTCTGTATTTTCCTTGCAAGGCCATAGCTAGCAACAGGCAAACCGAGGCACTTGCCTCATTCATTTTTATTTTCTTTTTGTTGTTTATAGTCATCACAAACAGCCTGTATAGCTATCAAGGGAATTTTAAAATGGACATTGCCTCAGTCATAATTATCTTCTGGCTACAGCCTTGCCTTGTATAACGGTGATGAAGCGTGAAATCTACTGACTAACGAACTCAATACTATAGCAGAAACATATAGAGTAGAGGTTTTTCAATGTCATATAGGTCTATTTAACGGAATTAGTTCCTCTAGCTTCCAGATTTCTAAACATCAAACAGAAGGCATTAGGGATTGTCCAGATTTAAGAATTAAATCACATGTGGAGTTTTAGGAATAATATACTTTAGTAGTGACTCTGCTGTGTTCTACTGTATTTGAGCCCACCCATAACCCCGAAAAAGAGTTGTACATGATAAGCCTAGGGCTTAAGTGTTCTACTCGTTGTCAATTTGAAACCCTTTCTTGTCCTTTTTCTTCTTGTAGCTTGAGTTGTTTATGTCTACAGCTATTTTCTTTCAATCAGAAGGTCGAGTAACAAATATGCATATAACATTGGAGAGCAGGGATGGCGCAGTGGTGAGAGCGCTCCCCTACCACCAATGTGGCCCGGCCTAGTGCCATATGTGGGTTGAGTTTGTTGTTGGTTCTCGCCTTGCTCCGAGGGTTTTTCTCCAGGTTCTCCGATTTTCCTCTCTCCACCAAAACCAACATCTCCAAAGTCAAATTCGACCAGGATAGAGGACTTGCATGAACACCATCTAAGGCTGGTGTGGCCTCCTCTCTAAATATTCTAATTTATTTATTTATTATACTTTATCAACCAGGCCTACTCACGAGAAAACCAGGCAGTTTGTAAACCCAACCTCCTTCCCCCATCCCCCACCCCCTGCCCCTTCGTACGATCCGCACTGTCCATTGGGACAAACCTACTTCGGTGCAGTCCTCGTACATGGTTCATAATAGTTAGCAAATCAGACACATTTTTTAAGGGTCTACACTCATAAAGCAAATTACAATACACACGAGACTGAGATGAATTTGAAGATGCATTGAAGTTTTTTTTTTTTTTTTTTTTTT